AAAAGTACAGAAACAGAGGTTGGGGATGAAATGGGACCTAGTGAGTCCAAGAGCTGTTATTAGAGGAATGTCTACAGTTCCATGCGGTGATGCAAAGCAACCATTAAATGCTTTACCTGAGAAAGAAACACATCACCCTGTGGATAAATCCATGCTTCATTTTGTTGCTGAAATGGATACAAAAGAATTGCCTATCACACACCACACAAAGTACCTAAAGTCAGAAGCAACTGCCAGGTCCCTCAGATAACAGATAAAAGACATTTTGAAGTAAAGCACTGCTCATTGGACATTATTAAGGCATCACATCGTAATTTCATTGGTAGGATTTTCCCTTCCTTAGTGGAGTGTCATTATCAAGCACCTATTCAGTTAAAGGTTCTCTGCAGGTGCTTTCACATGACATTTAAGCCTCACACCAATTCTGTTCCATCTCATCCCAACCTGGAGGTGAGAGCTGAGCATTTTGCTCAGATTGGTGCTTTGGTTTTGGTAGAGTTAGGACTTGAATTCTCATGTATCCATGCCCAGAGCCTGTACCTCTTTCTCTAGACTCCACTGTCCTGGTAGAAATCTCCCTGATTTGCCAACCCCTCTGTCTTTTTTTTTTTTGAAGGTATATTTTTTTTCCTTTTTATTATTTTAGTTGTTTTAAATTTATATCTGATAACATGTTCTGAAAACACTGTCCTGAGGCCGTTTCCAGAGGGAGCTGAGCTGTCTACACAGCCCTGCCCTGTCTGAGCAAGAGCATGCATTTGCACCTACACCCACCAAGGACCAAGTGCAGAGCCACCTGGGCCCAGCCCTGTGCCTACCCATCTAACAAACTGCACATCAGAGGTGGGAGGACCTCTGCCTGCAGCCCCTGCTTCTGGGAATTTCTGATCCACACAAGCCTGGCAGGAAGTGATGCGATGGTGGGACCATCTGGATCCAACCCCTCTATCTTTTAGAAGAATCTTTGGGGAGGAATGGCACCAAGATGTCTATACACAAGATGACATATTGGGTTTTTCTTTGTTTTTCATCTGAAAACTGAGTTAGATTTTGGGGACTGGAAATCCTGATGAGGGCATTTTTGGTGTTTACTTCTCTTCAGTGCACCTTGAATTCAGCTCACATAGTCTCTCACATCACCTCACAATTGTTTCCTAAAATGGAAAATGCTTTTCAACCAGATAATCTTTTCTTATGCCTGAGAATAAGCCATACTCAATTGGCCCCAAAGGACCATCTTCAATTCAAAGGCGATAAATTGAAGATGATCCAATAAATGTCCCTCAACATCACCAGCTAAGGATTTTCTAGAAAACCTAGTACAGTGGGACCTTGACTTACGAGTTTAATTGGTTCCGAGACCGAGCTTGTTAAGAAGCTCGTTAACTCAAATTACTCTATCAACTCAATGCAAAAAATCGGCCGAGAGACAGCTGGTATCTCAAAAAACTTGTTAGTCGGGACACTCGTAAGTCAAGGCCCCACTGTATTAAAAAAAGCATTGAGCATTTCTTTTTACCAACTGCAGGTTCTCAAGAAATAATCATGAGATTCTCACACATAAACATTTACTATTTTCCATGGCTATTTGGGTGGGAAAAAGAGTCAAAATGAAGTAAAAAATGAAAACCACTTGAATTTCTGTCCATGCTTATAATTGTATTCATACCAACAGTTTTAAAGGTTTAGACATGTTTAGAAATGTGGTTTCTTCTTAGATCAGGAGCAGGAATGGCTGCCCTCTTGGGAAAGGCCAGTCTGTGGTGAGCTAGCCGGCAGCAAGAGTGGAAGTGCCAGAAATATCAGTGGGGAGCTGAGGATTCTGAAATTCCTCATGTGATTCGGAACCCAGGAGAATTTGACTGCATTTGGAATCACTGCATCATGGAATGAAACCAGAAAGAAGATTGCTTACTCCTCATACATTTACTTCTCTTTAGATCTGGTTCCAAGGCTTTGAGAATTGTGTTATAAACTAGAGGCATTTCATTAATTAAGTAACAAGGACATTGTAACAAGCAGCAAAGATAATTATTTTCCTCCAAATTGAGCTGGTAGGGCCATTCTCGTCTTTCTGAGGACAAGCATTTAGTGAAAACAGAATCAGCACGGAACCAGCGTTTTACTGTAATCTCTGCTATGAAAGATTCGAGCACATGATTGGCATTTAAATTATTAATAAGTAATGCAGTGTCACTTAATATTTTATTTCCATTCATCAGTTACCAGTGTTTCTTAATCAAACTAGCTAGAGTTACTCACTGACTCTTAAGAAAGAGCTGGTAACCCTAGCCGGTTTTGCTCAGTGGATAGAGCATTGGCCTGTGGACCAAAGGGTCCTGGGTTTGATTCCGGTCAAGGGCATGTACCTTGGTTGCAGGCTCCTCCCTGCCCCAGGCCCAGGGCCTGTGCAGGAGACAACCAATCGATGTGTTGGTTGCCTCCTGCACAAGCTTGTAGAGTTTAAAATAATATTTAGAGAATCATTTACAGCTATACCTGCTCTCACACCTTTTCTTATCCAGCTCCATAAAAGGGGGTGTCCCTCTAGTCCAGTGATGGCGAACCTTTTGAGCTCAGTGTGTCAGCATTTTGAAAAACCCTAACTTAACTCTGGTGCCGTGTCACATGTAGAAATTTTTTGATATTTGCAACCATAGTAAAACAAAGACTTATATTTTTGATATTTATTTTATATATTTAAATGCCATTTAACAGAAAAATCAACCAAAAAAATGAGTTCGTGTGTCACCTCTGACACATGTGTCATAGGTTCGCCATAACTACTCTAGTCCAAGGTAAATCACTTGTCTATACTCTGAATGTACACAGTAAAATTTAATTTGCCATGGGCCCACCTATTAAGCTGTTGCTTGGAAATTTTTTCTCTCAGTGAACACTGCCATCTTCATTATGTTTCCGAAGAAAGCATTAGGGGTCATCAGAGACTCCTCCACATTCTGACATCCCAGCTCTATCCAATCCATCAGTATCCTGTCCATTTCACTGGTTCAGTATTTTTCCTGCACTTTCATTTCCCTCTGTCTCCCAGCTACTACATTGGTCTAGGTCCTAAACACCTAAGAACCTCCCAGATCACCTCCCTGCTATAATATCCAATATCCCTTTCTCTATACCACTATCAAAATGATTTCTCTCTTCTTAAAACCTTTTAATGGTGCTTCATTATCTTAAGGACAAAGTTCAAGATCCTTAGCATGGAACCAAGCCCTTTATGCCTTGGCCCTGCAGGGAAGCCAGCATCATCCTGCACCATTCCCAGAAGGCCCCATATGTTCCAATCCAAGGTAAGGAGTTGCTGTTTTGCAAATGGACCATGTTCCCTCTCTCTCCTTTGCCTTTGCAAGGTGGTTCCCTCTACTGACTATTTGCTCTGTGTCTGCCAGCAACACTCTGAATAGTTCCTTAAGGCAAACTCATTATTTGACAACTCTGGGAAACAGGGAGGGAGCCCACGCTGAGTTCAAAGTCAATTGCTGTGGTGCCTTCTCCTGTGTTCTCCCAAACCTCTGTCAAGGTACTTGCCATAGAGCATTTCAGTGTTTGTTGTAAACATCTGTCTCTTCCACTATATTGTACGTTCCTTGAGTGGAGGAGTTGAGTCTTTATTTTTGTCTTTCCAGGCCAAGCATGGTACCTGTTGCTTGGTAGCTGCTCCATAAATTGCTATGGCACAAAGGAGTTTAGTCCTTTTTCATCACTTCTGAAAACTTTCAGGTAGCCCTTAGAACAGCGGTTCTCAACCTGTGGGTCGCGACCCCTTTGGCGGTCGAATGACCCTTTCACAGGGGTCGCCTAAGACCATCCTGCATATCAGATATTTACATTACGATTCATAACAGTAGCAACATTACAGTTATGAAGTAACAACGAAAATAATTTTATGGTTGGGTCACAACATGAGTAACTGTATTTAAAGGGCCAGAAGGTTGAGAACCACTGCCTTAGAAGGTCTTTTGTCTTGCTCACCCTGAGTACTTTCATCTAATTCCACATGTTCAGTGACCATCCATATATACAACAAGGCCAACTTTTGACCTCCAGAACTCCATGTCACACTTGTAATAACTTCTGTGTCTCACAATACCTCAAAGTTTATATGTTAAAAGTGAATCGTTTCCTTCCTCAATTGGCCTCTTTTCTATTTCCCATCCTAGTGAGTTAGCAGTGGTCAAGGATGAATTAAGGGTATCAACTACTTGTAATTTTTCTCCGGGTTTCTATGCTAAATCACACGGTTAGTAAATTTCTAGGAAAAATTGATCCTTTATGTATAGCCCAAGTTTGCTTTTGTATTAGTGATCTACTGCTACATAACAAATCACTACACAGTTAGCAACTTAAAAAAGCACATATTTATTATCTCGAAGTTTCCGTGGGTCAGGAGTCCAAGCATGGCTCAGCTGGGTCCTCTGCTCAGGGTTTGCAAAGCTGTGGTCAAAGTGCAGTCAAGGTGGCTGGGCTCTTACACGAGGTTGGGGATCCTCTTCCAGTCTCACTGGTTGCTGGCAAAGTTCATTTCCTTGAAGCTGCAGGACTCATAGCAGCTTGCTTATTCCAGGCCAGTGAAAGAGAGTCTCTGACTTGCTTTTAAAGGGCTCATCTGATTCCGTCAGGCTCACCCACCATCATATGCTTTTGATGACCTCAAAGTCAGCCGATTAAGGACCTTCATTATATCTGCAAAATCTCTTTACCCTTGCCATAGAATGTCACATAATCAGGAGAGAGACCAGTCTATCTCTTTTGCCATATTCCATTAGTTAGAAGCAAGTTGCAGGTTCTACCACACTCAAGGGGAGAAGGTTATACCGGGTGTGGGTCATCGGGAGTTATCCCAGAATTCTGCTTCCCACAGCTTAATTCTTTAAAAAAAAGCATATGGTTAATGGCAAAACCCAAAATCTCAAGTGTAAATGGGAGTGGCACAGAATTTGGGGCTGGAGAAAATGGTTTCCTATGCTTATCCTAGCTTACACAAATGTCCTGAAGTTAATGCAAATGCCATTAGGATGTAAGATGTGCTAGGAATCCTGCCGCTTTTGGGTACTGCTTCTGAGGAAAAACTGTTCCACTGGTATTTAGTAAAAAACACATGACTCTGCGAATTTATCTTTTTTTTTACATTGGCAGTGATAATGCCATTGTACACAGTCAGTGTGAGGTCGGCTTGCGAGTCCCTACAGATATGTGGTCACCTCTCGACTTTCTCTCTCTTTTGCTTGGGCAACTGCCACATTGATGCACTGGAGCCACTCTTCTGCGTTCTTCTCATCCTTGGCCTTGAAAACATAGGTTTTATTGTCTGTGAAGATTTCAAAAGCCCGAGGGAGAGAGCGGTCCCTGCGTTTTCTGGCCACAACCTTCACGCTCTGTACTTTGCTGAGTTCTATTGGTGAGTCATCAGGATCGTCTTTCTGAAATGCACATGGGAAGTAAAACACATGAGCTGGCTCCCAGAACATGGAAAGATCTCTGGCTACTGGAGGATTTTCCAAGAGGATCAGAATCCTTTCACTTCATATGGCTCAAGGCCTTTGTTATTTGGGGCGCCATTGCCTCAAAGGGTCGTTAGAACAAGAAAGGAGTGAACAATTGGCCCTTTGTTATCGTATCATAAATTGGCACAAGATAGCTAATTTCTAGAAATTCTACCTTGGGATTGGGGAAAATGCTTAATTCATATTTCTTTGATTTTATGTCATTTTCTATTAATATTAAAACTTCATTAATAGAGCAAAACATAACAGTACAATTTGGAGTACCATTAACTCAGAATTTAAGATAATTTGGGAAGCATGGAATTTAATTTTACTTTGTGCTATATCTGAGGAAGGGGTATTCATAGAATAAAAAGGGTTTCAGTGTTAAAGTAGATCAAACTGTTTTTGAAACTCTGTGGAACGTTGGAAGCGTCATTTGTCTGCTAGCATGAATAGTTTTAAGGGGTCAGATACTTGTTTAAAGCAATTTCAGGTCTTTAACTCCATTTTGTCTCCTGGAGAATGTACCTGTGGTTGAGGATCTTGTCAATTCCCCTTTCCCACCTCTCCTGTACAGTCACCCTTCTTCCACTTTGCAATGAAAAGATACCCTTCTCACTCATCCCAAACTTTCCATGGTGTATTATGCAACTTGGAAAAATCTCAAGAGCATCAAACAAATTTTAAAAAGCAATACAGAATATTAATGTCAGGGAAGCATCCTTCAAACAAAGTAACAATAATCCCGATTGTTGATTAAGTGATGCATTTCCAATAGCATTTCACTTTTTAATGTTTAATAACTAGTAATCTAATAATACATTTGATATTATACTTATGGCTTTTCATAAGTGATGTAATTTTTTAAAAGAGAAAAATATAAAACCTTAGTATTTAGAGACTGATGGTCACAAGAAATTAAAATTAAATTTCAATTTACATACATAGTTTTATTGCAATGAAAAATGATAGGGTCATTACAGTGAAATGCTGTGGGAGGGGTAAAACAAAAATATGATTTCGCCGAAACTGGTTTGGCTCAGTGGATAGAGTGTCGGTATACTTATGGCTTTTCATAAGTGATGTAATTTTTTAAAAGAGAAAAATATAAAACCTTAGTATTTAGAGACTGCAGGAGGCAGCTGGTCGATGTTTCTCTCTCATCGATGTTTCTAACTCTCTATCTCTCTCCCTTCCTCTCTGTAAAAAATCAATAAAATATATTTTAAAAAAATGATTTCAAGGAAAAGTGACACAATGTAAACATTTTTATTAAAGAAGAACTAATTTATGTAATTTTTAAATGGATAGTGTTAGGTGTCAAATTGCTATGGTATTTTATTTCAGTGGTTACATTTAAAGAAAATATGTGATATTTTTATTTTAAAATGAAAATGCTTATAATTCAACAGAAATTACAGTTTGTGCAACTGTTTAAACTTATGATTAAAGTGTTGATACACCTTAAAATACTATAGGTAATATAGATCTTTCTGAATTCTTTTAGGGGCTATCTAAGTTAAACTTGGAAAATATCTGCACTAGACAATATTTGTCAGCTTACTGTGGTTTACAGTATCTGAAGATAATAAAATTGTATTTCTTTGGGTTAGCCTACAGTACAGAGACTGATAAATGAAATGATAAAAAAAGATGTTATCATAGTTATTTCAAGAAGGACAGTGAATTAACCAAGATAGAAATGGCCAGGAAGTTAAAGGACACCATTGTCAGCCGTGGGCAACCTACGGCCTGTGGGCCGGATCCGGCCCGTTTGAAATGAATAAAACTAAAAAAAAAAAAAGACCGTACCCTTTTATGTAATGATGTTTACTTTGAATTTATATTAGTTCACACAAACACTCCATCCATGCTTTTGTTCCGGCCCTCCGGTCCAGTTTAAGAACCCATTGTGGCCCTCGAGTCAAAAAGTTTGCCCACCCCTGGAGCTGGTTGGCAGAGATCTTAACAATAGAAAGTAACACTATAATCTTTTAGTTTAAAATGCACATTTTTTCTCATTTACAAGAAAGGGCCTTTACGATGTGGCTAGACTGCTGACCACTGCTAGGTTACTGTGTCCCTGGGGATGAAGGAGATTTTGCTGTGGTCCTTATACTATTTCCCAATATTTGAGCCATATGTTTTGTCAGGTTTCTGGAATGTTAAACCATTATTTCCCGATAAAGATGTCAAACAATTTAGCCAACTATAAAATAGCTCATTCTCTAAACTTTATTAAAAAGCTCTGAATCAAGAAGGATAAAGGTCATTATTTGAGTTCAGAAAAAACACTCTTATGCACTGACTCTGCTTTGACTCAAGGGATCTGATAAATCACTACATTTTACTTCTATTCCTGCCTTTTTATATGAAAACAGGAAATTCAGATGGCCATTTTTAACACTTTAAATGTGAACCTATACTAAAAAAAATAATGTTTCTTTAAACCTCTAATAACTGTCTAAATCAGCAGTTCTCAACCTGTGGGTCGCAAGCCCTTTGGGGGTCGAACGACCCTTTCACAGGGGTTGCCTAAGACCACCGGAAAACACATATATAATTATATATTGTTTTTGTGATTAATCACTATGCTTTAATTATGTTCAATTTGTAACAATGAAATTGGGGGTCACCACAACATGAGGAACTGTATCAAAGGGTTGCGGCATTAGGAAGGTTGAGAACCACTGGATTGAGCACACACTATACTTCCTTTTAAAAAGATCTTCAGCCACAAAAAAATCCATCTGTATATTTTATAATACATACAAATGAAGAAAGTAACATGAGTTCAGAATAGGTGTCATCAAAGTCTTTTTTTTTTTACTCAAAAAGTTAACATGAGGTTTTATAGATTGAAAAAGTACTGACCAGAATTTGTGAAATTCAGATACACCATATTTGATTCTCTTGGGTAATAAATAAATTTTATAATGAACACTCTAAAAATATAGTGCATATGTTCTCAGTGCATTGTATTTTTAAGTAATTTAAGACCTTTCATTAATTAATTCAGACGCAGTTTGCTTTGCCACTGGCTCTGTGTTTAAGTGTACAGGGAAGCAGGACTAAGTGCTCACTTAAGAACATGTTTGGTGTCATACTGCCCAAGCCTGACTCCAATTTTACCCTCTTTACCTTACTGGCTCTATCTTTGGTCAAGCCAACCATCTCTTTGAGCCTTGTTTCCCCTTCTGTAAAAGGGCAATAATAAGAGTGCTGACCTCAAAGGATTATTTGAGGTAATCCAGTGTGGCATGTGGTGAGCTCTGATGAGCTGCTATTATTATCATCATCATTATTATTATTTTTCAATGTAACCAAGAAGTAGGTCAAGATTTTATTTCCCTGATCCTGATTGAGTAGAATTGAAGGATAATAAATCTGATTTGAAAAGAAGGGGAAAACTTTACATTGTTAATAGGTTTCCCCCTGAAAATTCAGAATACAGATATTTACTCAGCATCCTTGTTCAGATGGAAAATTCTATTAAATGAATATTTATTAATTCTTTTAGAATCCCATTTTATTCATTCACTGAATGAAAGATAGCATTTTTTTCTAATCAAATTAAACTTTGGTGATTTCAAAAGTAATTTAAAATAGACCAGCCTTTTTTTCTTCCTCCCTGTCTATGGTTCCCCTTCCTTCAGTCCCCACTTCTAAATAAAACCTGTAACTATAAAAGAAATCAGTCAATATGATGAGCCATAGATGTACGTAGGTGATCTGCAGGGAAACAAAAGGCATGGTGTTCCAGTCAAGAGCAGTTTATCTTCTAAAAACTTAAGTCAACAAAAAACAGCTCCCATAATAAAATGAAGAGGGACAGTGAACCAACTAACATAGAAATGAACAGAATGGGCAGTGAAAGGAACATGGTAATAAAATAATACTGTAAAATTGTAAAACGGAGAAGGAAAAAAAATACTGATATTCAACCCAAGACAAAATGCCTACCTAGCTGGTTGGTGGAAATCAAGACTTTAAAAATGCAGGTGTAATAAACAGCAGAGGAACTTACAGACTTTCCTTTTTGAAACAGAAGTTGGTTTCCAGCCAGTGTGAAGTAACGGGTTTTCCACCTTTTGATGAACTTCCATCTGACTTGCTTCTCTTTAAGTTTCCCTTCTATGAGAGGCTGGCCGTCTTGATTTACAACTGTTGAAGGTAACAGACTGATCAAGCCATTTATTTTCCATTAGTTATTTGGCAAGTGATCAAAAGTCAGAATTGTCCAGGGAACCAGAACCCAGTAAAGCATATTTGGAAAGTGGGCTGATAAATTATGAATTTGGTTAACCTTTCTCCCTTTGTCCCTGAAAGGATGCACAGTTTAGATGATGGGAAAGTGTTGAAAGACCTCATAGAGATTTTCAAAAGAAATATGGTTCACAAAAAGAGCATCTGGTTAGCAGTTTCTAAGGTTGATCCAGATAGCCAGCTTTCTGTGCTTCGTAACTACTTTGTTTCATGATATTCTGTTCACATGAACCGCTGAGAAATATAACTTCATAAATAATCACAAAACACATATATTTAGCTATTTGGCAGCAAAAGTCAACACACTACTCCAAAAAGACATGTTTTCCTAAAAGCCATAACAGCTGCAAAGGCAAATTTACCCAGTTCTTTTGAACAGGATATTTCCACTCTCTGGAACCCACACACTCTCTCTTCACCCTCCACACTCCCATCTTTGCCTAGTTAACAACCAATAATGCATGTTTCAACTCCAATGTTGCTTCCTTTGGTAGACCTTCCCAAAACCCAGACCAGAGTGGCTTTGCCTGTTATATGTTCCCATAGCATCTGGCATGATTCTTTTATAGCAGGCATCATCATCTGTAGATGGTTAGTGGTGTTTATCTAATGCAGTGGTTCTCAACCTTCCTAATGCTGTGACCCTTTAATACAGTTCCTCATGTTGTGGTGACCCCAACCATAAAATTATTTTCGTTGCTACTTCATAACTGTAATTTTGCTACTGTTATGAATCATAATGTAAATATCTGATATGCAGGATGTATTTTCATTGTTACAAATTGAACATAATTAAAGCATAGTGATTAATCACAAAAACAATATGTAATTATATATGTGTTTTCCAATGGTCTTAGGCGACCCCTGTGAAAGGGTCATTCGACCCCCAAAGGGGTAGCGACCCACAGGTTGAGAACCACTGATCTAATGAATGTCTTTTTCCCCCATCCAACTGAAAGCTCCCGAGGGCAGTGTCCCTGCTTTGTTCACTGTTGTATCACCAGGCTTTTAACACAGTGCCTGGCAAATAACAGGAAGTCTATAAATATGTGTTGACTGAACGGATTAATTAGACATTGAAGTATAGTGTTTATCATTACATTATTATTACACATAATCATAGAATTAGAAGATGTGTTATCATGTCAGAAGGTTAGATGTTGAATGGAGGAATTTAATTTCTTTTAATAATTACATTAAGTTCACTTCTTAAATTTATATAAAAACATTTAATTTCTGGGGAGTATGACAAAATTTACTTCTATTGATTTATGTTCAATTTTCACAGCAATTTGAAAGGAATGACATATTTTCTATCACTTGGAAATTTGGACAATGCCTGTTTGACCATATCTTTCCTACCCTACCATTTCCCTTTCCTAATTTAGATCAAATAAGTATCTCAGAGGAAGATTTGTTCATCTTGACTGCATTTTCAAAGTAAGAATAATGAAGTATGTAGCTTTCACAAAGTTCTAATGAGGCTAGTTTGGCATTGTTCCTTGTCTGAAAAGTATTCAATTGGATGTTTCATTGTCAATCCCAAATTAAGGCTATAAATGGAAAATACATATCAAATATATATGATAAAAATAGAATAGAGAGTGATTGACTTGGGGTTGGTGCATATGCGTTTAATTTATCAGAAAAGAGCTTGGACATTCCAGGTGACATTTGATCTGAGACATCAGTGTTGAGAAGCGTCTCCCATCCTCTGAGAAACTTCACGGTGGTTAGTATTGTGCATAACAGAGACCAGGGAAAGCAGGAACCCAGGAAGTATTGACAGTCACATCAAGAAAATGATTTGTGGATGCAAGGATGGTACAATATCCACAAATCAATAAACATGATATATCACATAAATAAATTGAGAGATAAAAATCACATAATCATATCAATTGATGTAGAAAGAGCATTTGACAAAATCCAACACCCTTTCTTGATAAAAACTCTCAGCAAAGTGGGAATAGAAGGATCATACCTCAACCTAATAAAAGCCTTATATAACAAACCTACAGCCAACATCATACTCAATGGGCAAAAACTAAAACCATTTTCCCCAAGAACAGGAACAAGACAGGGATGCCCACTTTCACCACTCCTGTTTGACATAGTACTGGAAGTGCTAGCTATAGTGATCAGACAAGAAGAAATAAAAGGCATCCAAATTGGAAAAGAAGTAAAACTGTCATTATTCGTAGATGACATGATATTGTACATAGAAAACCCTATGTTTTTTGACTCCATCAAAAAACAACTAGACTTAATAAATGAATTTGCCAATGTAGCAGGATACAAAATTAACACCCAGAAATTTATGGTTTTCTTATATACCAATAATGAGCTCACAGAAAGAGAAACTAAAAAAAATCCCATTTACCACTGCAACAAAAAAATTAAGATACCTAGGAATAAAGTTAACTAAGGAGGTAAAAGACCTGCACTCAGAAAGCTACAAGACACTGAAAAAAGAGATAAAGGAAGACATAAACAATGGAAGAATATACCATGTTCATGGATTGGTAGAATCAACATCACTAAAATGTCTATACTACCCAAAGTAATCTATAGATTCAATGCAATACCCATTAAAATACCAATGGCACATTTCACAGACCTAGAACAAACTCTCCAAAAATTCATCTGGAATAAAAAAAGACCCTGAATAGCCACAGCAATCCCGAGAAAGAAGAACAAAGTTGGAGGGTTCACAATACCAGATATCAAGCTATATTACAAAGCCACTGTTCTCAAAACTGCCTGGTACTGGCACAAGAACAGACATATAGACCAATGGAATAGAATAGAGAACCCAGAAATTGTTCCAAACCACTATGCTCAGTTAATATTTGACAAAGGAGGCAAGAGCATACAATGGAGTCAAGACAGTCTCTTCAATAAATGGTTTTGGGAAAATTGGACAGATACATGGAAAAAAAAATGAAACTAGACCACCAACTTACATCATGCACAAAAATAAACTCAAAATGGATAAAGGACTTAAACGTAAGATGGGAAACCATAAAAATCTTAGAAGAATCACAGGCAGCAAAATATCAGACATATATTGTAGCAATATTTTTACTGATACAGCTCCTAGGACAATGGAAACTAAGGAGGAAATAAACAAATGGGACTACATCAAAATAAAAAGTTTCTGGGATAGGGGGTAACGTGGGGATAAGGACACATATTTAATAACTTAATCAATAAAAATAAATAAATAAATAAATAAAAGTTTAAAAAAGAACCTAGCTAGTGTTAAAGTACTAAAAAAAAAGTTTCTGCACAGCAAAAGAAACCATCAACAAAACAACAAGAAAGCCCACTGCATGGGAGAACATATTTGCCAATGTTATCTCCAATAAGGGTTTAATTTCCAAAATTTATATGGAACTCATACATCTTAACAAAAGGAAGATCAACAATCAATCAAACAATGGGCAAAGGACCTAAATAGACACTTTTTGAAAGTGGACATACAGCAGGCTGAGAGACATATGAAAACATGCTCAAAATAACTAATCATCTGAGAGATGCAAATACTAGTAAAAATGACAATGAGGTACCATCTCACACCTGTCAGAATGGCTATCACCAACAAATCAACAAACAACAAGTGCTGGAGAGGATGTGGAGAAACCCTTCTTCACTGCTGGTGGGAATGCAGACTGGTGCAGCCACTTTGGAAAACAGTATGGAGTTTCCTCAAAAAATTATAAATGGAACTTCCATTTGACCCAGTGACCCCACTTCTAGGAATATATCCTGAGACTCAGATATATTTTATCCAATCAGAAAGGATATATGCACTCCTATGTTCATAGCAGCACACTTTACAATAGCTAAGATTTGGAAACAGCCTAAGTGCCCATCAGCAGATGAGTGGGTTAAAAAACAGTGGTACATCTACACCATGGAATACTATGCTGCTGTAAAAAAGAACTCTCATCATTTGCAACAGCATGGATGGACCTGGAGAGCATTATGCTAAGTGAAATAAGCCAGTTGGAGAAAGATAAATAACACATAATCTCACTTATTTGTGGAATAATGAAAAACATAAACTGATGAACAAAATAGAACCCGAGTCATACAAGTATCAAATAGACCATCCAACCTAAGAGGAAAGACAGGGGGAGGGTGGGTAAGAGATCAACCAAGGACTTGTATGCCTGCATATGAGCATAACCAATGGACACAGACACTAGCGGGGTGAGGGCATGTGCTGGGGGGGGGGGCAGGTGGGAGTTGGGGGGAGAGGTCAATGGGAGAAAAAGCAGACTTGTGTAATACTTTAAACAATTAGAATTAAAGAAAAAATGATTTATGTTCTGCTTTGTTTTACTAGTATTTGCATCATCTGACTTAGACCATTCTTGAAGCTAGTAATATTCTTTGCAAATTTAAATTTTTCATAAACAAGGAGCTTCCTTTGTGCAGCCTCTCTGCAGTTACTTCTGGTCCTACTTCAGGTAAAGTCACCTCAGGTGGAGCACTTAGGACACAGGCCTTCTCCAGGTGCTATGCTTTCCCAAGAGCAGGAGCTGCCTCACACAGTGTCCGCCTGGGCTGTGTGTTCAATGAGTGTTTACTCACAGGGTGCTGTTGAGGCAGAATGAAGGGCACAGTGGCCTTTCTGGGAAGAGGAAGGAAAGGTCCAAGAGCCGATCCAAGAGGAGGAAAATAGCTTAAATTAAAAATCTATCTATCTATCTATCTATCTATCTATCTATCTATCTATCTATCTATCTATATTTTATTGATTTCAGAGAGGAAGGGAGAGGGAGAGAGAGAGAATCATCCATGATGAGAGAGAATCATTGATTGGCTGCCTCCCGCATGCCCCACACTGGGGATCCAGCCCACAACCCAGGAATGTGCCCTTGACTGGA